ATTTAAGTAAATTCAAACTCAAATTCCATGAACGATCCGATGCAACCACTTGAAAACGCTGGCTAACATTCTGTACAAGGAGTATTCTTGATCTGATATAAAGAAACAACTGGTTTTCAAGCAGTTTTCAATGAATTACTCAACTTACATGTACAGCCTGCCATGCTGACGCAAATGGCGCAAATGGATAGTTCTAGAATTGACCTCGGCTCCATTTGATGCAGCAAAACAATCCAACATTACCTTATCTAATTTTCATATCAAAGATCAAATTTCTTTCCTATTATAAAACTACGATAAAACTGCTGACAAAAATGGAATAAATACATTATTGACTCAAAATAATACATCAATAAACTTTATCTCACGGATGCTGTTCACAACAAAGTTTTATAGGAGAATTGACTTCAAGCTTTATTTTTCCCAGATATTTGTGTTACATTCATATGAAGTCTGGGTTTTTTGTTAATGCGAAGACAGTATTTCTATATCTCTTTATGTGTTACACACAGACTATTTTGCAGACTGTTCCGATTGACTCTAATGTCAGAAAGAACAAACAAACTGTAAATTCAACATAAATCGAAACATATGTAATTTATATAATAACATCCATGCCTGTACAATTGGTATGTTCCTGCATAAACAGGAGTAAATAAATAAATAAAGTTTAAAGGACATATTCAAGGTCAAAGTAACAATGAAGACCACTAAACCAAATAACAGAGGTAATAGTACATCTGCTATGGTGTCAAAACAAAATTTACCAAGGAAGGTTTAATGTGATGACAAATTGTTTTTGAACGCATAAAGGTGGCTTAAACTTTCTAATTGCTGGGGCTTCCACAAACTTTAGGATACGCCCCAAACCCGTTTTATAGATAGGTTTAAAAGATCTGTTAACGTCAATTTTATGTCCTGTTTCTATAATATGTTTTGCAATAGAGGAGCTAGGTCTCCTGTTCTCACCATTAATGGGTTCTGAAGATTCCATTTGTTTCTGGAGCCATTTAGGAATATGCTCTGAAGCCCTTACTTGCAGAGATCGATGAGTCCTCCCTATGTATGTGTGTCCACACGTACATTCAAATTGGTAAATACAGTGGGATGTGACGTCATTTTTCTCATGTTCTAACTTACGAATGTCGCGATTTATCCAAGAGGGCAATGATTCCGATATTTTAGGACAGGCCAAGGTATGGATGGTCAAGTTACTTGCGCGCATAGTTGTTTAAATTGGTTCCATGCGGCTTCTAATTGGGAATGTGGGTTGATGAACCAGTTCACTGAGTTGACTGCACTTATATCAGCTTTCCAAAAGTTCCGTCGAGCTGAGGTTTTGGCCCATGATGCTGCTCCTATGAACTTGAAAGTGAGCAAAGTGTGATCACTTCTTCTTACAGGAGGAGGATGCTGTATGAGGCCCATATCCTCACCATGTGAGAACACTGGCTCCAGAGTTGAAGAGGAGTGTTGTGAGTCATAGAGCGTGGGCCCCATGACAAGTTGGACTAGGGCTAACGAAATGATAGATTCCAGCAGTTTATGATCGAAGGAGTTGTCTGAAGGTGGCGTCGTAAGGCTTGTCCAATCAACTGTTCGGGTGTTGAAGTCACCGACTACGAGACCTCGACATTTCGGTGTTCAGGAGCCTGGCTCCTCTATTAGGAAGTCATCTGCACTGCAGTCAGGACTGCGGTATACAGCAATGAGGTCAATATCTTGGCCCACGCATTTAAGTCTGCAGCGTAGAAGTTCACACGGTTCACTTTTGTGAGCGAGTGCTTCGAAGCTACGCATGGTCAAGAATTTCTTGAGGTAGATGACTACGCCATCTCCTTTACGGCTAAGCAGGTCTACCCTATGCACTTCGAAGTTTGCCAGACTAGCTTCGTTAGCAGTGGCATCGGGTGTGAGCCATGTCTCTGTGGTGATAATTACATCCGCGTCTCCGGAGTCTATCATGTTAACCAGCTCAGTCCGTTTGTTCAACAGGCTGCGGGCGTTTGTGTAGCAAACTGTCAGTTCAGTTTGGTGCTCCCACAGCCTACCCCCATGAAAACTTAATAGCTTCCGGTACTCTTATGCCAAAAACACCACCAAAAGTATCCGCAAATGCATACTGACCTGCCCCATGCATACACAGAATACCGCAGTCAGACCATCTCAACACGTCATATAAGGAACTGACATTTTCAGACAATTCAGATACATGGTACGTTTTTAGTGGCAGTTGCTTATATTCAAAAAATTTCCAGTTGGGACTTCACCGGAAAATTGTGACCACGGTAAAATAATACACCAAGCTTAGAAAAATTCTCTCAAATTACAAACTAATGCTTAATCCTATAGTGAGTAGATTGTAAAGTCGCTTGACATTCTGTGCTGTTTTCCGCCTTATCCTCATTAGTTCAGCGCCTACTGGCATTTTTCTAAGCAGTATTTCAGAATTTTCATCCCCGATTCAGCACTGGACAGTATTATTTCAGCACACCTTGGTATAGTTCAATGTTAAGTGGAGTTCTTTAGCATTATCTTGATTACTTCAGCACATACTAGGTTTCTCCAGCATACAAAATATTCCTTTAGCACTAGAATGCATTGTTGAAGCATAGTCCAGAATCAGTTCAGCATTATTGTAAGCTTGGGACATGACAGCATGTAATATGCCGACGATCGAAGAGTCAACCCGAACATGAAGTGCACCCTGAACTCAGGAATCGATGTAACATACGAGTCCGGAGTGATAGAAGGACATTTCAGAGAAACCTCGCCAATAAGCTTCTCGTGAACCTCAAAAGCCTATACAGGTTTATGTCTGAAAGAAAACCGACCAACCAGGGAGCTTGCAATCTAGTGGGTTCTGATGGGAAATCTCTTACTAGTCTTGAAATGGCAGAGACATTCAGTCTAGCCTTTCACAGGCAACTGAACAGTAAAGAGGATTTCACCCCCACAAAACATCAAGATTACAATGCAAGACCAACGTGCGAAAACCTGCTCGGTACATTTCAAATTACCCCGGCTATGGTACTCGTAAAATTGGGAAAGTTGGTTTCGGGAAAGTCTGCAGGTTGCGATGACATAAGACCATCCGTCCTGAAGCAGTGTTCAGAAAGTCTCTGCCAACTCCTAAGTGATCTGTTTCAACACTCCTTTGATGTAGGGAAACTTCCATGTGAATGGAAACGAGCCATCCTATCCCCTATCTTCAAGGGTGGTGACCGGCAGAACGCGACCAGTTGCAGACCAGTTGCGCTACTCCCAGTGATATCGAAGATATTGGAAAGTCTCATTGACGACCACATGAGAAAATACTTCGACGGGACTAACCTACTCCATGAAGCACAGCACGGTTTCAGGAGGGGAAGATCCTGTGTGACGAATCTTCTACTAGCTTGGAACGATTTGACACTATCCTGGGACGTAAAGGTGCCAGTCCATGTGATCTTTCTCGACTTTGCGAAAGCATTCGACACAGTTCACCATGGTCTGCTCCTTCACAAAATAAGCAAGGCGGGTGTTTCTGGAGCACTTCTCGCATGGCTGAAAGATTACTTAGGCGAGAGAGAATTCTGCACCAAAGTCAACCGCATCCGATCATCCTGGCACACCTCTGCATCAGGGGTTTCTCAGGGTTCTGTCTTAGGGCCGTTGATGTTTTTGATTTTTATCAACGACCTGCCCTGTCAACTGAACTGCTTTGCGCTTCTTTACGCTGACGACGTAAAGATTTGGAGAGCAATAAACTCATCGGAAGACTCCGACAGATTGCAGGCTGATCTGCAAACTCTGAGAGACTGGGCTCTGGCTAACGGAATGCCTTTCAACCTAAAGAAGTGCAAAGTAGTGTAACTTCATTCCGGCAGGTCACAGAGTGCAAATTACACCCTTGGTGGCCAGAACTTGAGTTGTTTACCATCAGAACGTGACCTAGGTCTTACTTTAACAGAAAAGCTAGACACCAGTGTAAATTACACGAGGGACGTTGCCAAAGCTTACGCAACCTTACACTTTATGCATAGGCAGCTGGGAGCTCTTACTCCCGAACTATTCTTAACGTTGTATACGACATACGTGAGGCTACTCCTTGAGGTGCATAATATCATTGCTCCTCCGCTACTCAAAAGGGATGCTAACATTCTAGAAAGTGTCCAGAGACGAGCGACAAAATGGGTGATCGGCCTCCGCAACAAATCACATGAGGAAAGACTAAAGAAATTAAGTCTTTTCACACTTGGTTACCGTAGTCACAGGGGAGACCTCATCACCCTCTATAAGATCTTAAATGACCAGGCACACCCTAATAAAAACATCCTGCCATTAAAAGATTAAAGGCTTCCACGAGGTAACCCGCTAAGGATAGCACACCAGAGACCAAAGACTCGAGTGCGTTCACATTTCTTCTCGCTTCGAGTTTGCCGTCTCTGGAGCGCTTTACCGGTGGCCGTAACTACAGCGCCATCCGTGGAGACTTTTAAGCGGAAGCTGGACAATCATGCAGAAATGCATGGTTTGTGTCTCAATGGATTATTCTCTTAAAATTTGAAACCACACTGTCAATGGATAAGCATGCAATCTAAATCCCCACGACCCGTCCTGTCTTCTCTCACTGTACCGACTACTCTATCTTTTCTTCGGTCACCTTTATTATTTCCCCTTTATTATTTCACTTATCTCAACCTATATTATCTACGCTACAACCTATTATTATTACTATTCTACTTTTATGACTACACCGAATGCCCAACGGGTGTTAGGTCAAACTCCATTCACGGCAGCAGCTGAGTCCTAACATACTGCACACTACAAACCACAATCTTGACCAATCCTCGCAACACTCCTCTTGGAGTCTACCAGAGCTACAGCAGTCAAGTGGCGGGATTTACTACGCATAAGTTCACCGAAGATCTGGAACCTCTACCTTACAATCAAGAAGCGAGCTCAAAGAAATCACTGGTTTATACTAGCTCGTAATCAGGATATTGGATATTGGATCAGAAATGGGGTCGCAATTCAAAGGCTGGTCTTGACCTTGGAACAGGTATCTTGATGCCTCCGTGCGTCCTCTTTCCATCTATCAGACTTAAACACTTGTGGATATTGGCCCTAGCACTGATAGTTTCATTTATCATAGTCGATCACCACGATTTTTCGTTAGTTCCAATCTGGGCTTTCCATTTGAATGGCACCAAACCTGTTCAAAATTATTCAAGTGATAGTTATGTTTTTCCATCAAATACCATTGTTGAATATGTACACAATGGTTACAGCACTTTCATGTCAGTTGTCGCTTCTACCTCTGAATATATTTCCTTTGAGCTTCCTATGATGGAAACCGTTGTGAATTCAATTTCTGGGCTTGATTGGAAAGCAACTAAGTTTCTGGAATTTCGGAAAGTTGTAGGTAAAGGCTTTCGTGGACATACGTTGCGAAAACGATCTCTCAACTACAAAAACAGACTAGTAACTAATTAATTTTTTCAATAATCACAGTAATTGATCAAGATACACGTTGTTGTAGAGGTCTGCAGGTTAAAGTCGGACATGAGGGAACTTGTTGTTGAAGTGGCACTATACGACAACCGTTTTGTAATGATGTGGGAAAGACCTTTGTATCGGATACGAGAAGAAGAATTCATGACGGATCCGAAATCTACCTCAGTCTCCTTATCAGTCGTTCCAACTTGTGGTTTAGTATATCCAAGACAATGTGGAGTGGTTTTCGTTGGATTTCCGACAAATACGTAAGTTTTCTGTCATATGTTAATTTCAAGTCATTTCAACTAAATAGTCCAATTGACCTCCTGTAAGCTCAAGTAAACTAGAATGTCAGGTGTTATGAACACATTTCTAAAGCACTAACCAGGTGGACATTCATCGTTTTGTGTTTTCAGGTGCTTCCAGCTAATAAGCGTAGCTCAGGTACTTCTTGCATGTAGGTCTTGTCAAATCGTATGTAGTTGTCTAGAAATTCAATGGTCGAAATAGATCCTTATCTAATTATGTACTGACGTTTGCTGCTATCATGGTAATCAGAAGTACATATTCATATTGAATGCAAAGCACATTTTGAAGCTTCAGTGGAGTATTACTCTAACAAACCGACTATGTTAATCATCTACAATTTAGTCCGGATAATCAACACAAGGTCTTAGCATAAGGAGAAACATAGTTTTAATCGGCGACCACCAACATCAAGCCAATGATGGATACAGATATATTATTTTGCCGTAAGTTATTGATGGTGGAGTCCATTAAAATTTCCCGATTCTTCTAGGGCATGTCTATGGATTCTGATCATTCATTAGCTTGCACACGCATGTGTATCACTAAATGGAAGAAAAAAGTTAACAGCAGCGAAACCCTTACATATCTAACTTCATGATGAAAATCTGTGGTCTGTGTTTCTACAGGAGTTAATTAAACTTATATGGGTATGGCAACAATACTTATCTTAAGGAAGCCTACTACTATATTTAGTATGCTTTAGAAATAGTAGAGATACCCGATAACCTACAACCAAGTATTGATAAAAGCCAGTGCATTAACATGCCTTCTAACAAAGTGACTAACTCAAGGAGAATGACCTCTGCTACCTCTCGACATGATGGGGAGTGAAAGTTGATTAAATGTCAGTTGACTGAAGATGTTTTAACGACTATGAAAAATGGTGCCCAACAAAGGTGGGAGAAACAGAAATGGTATCAATACTAGTAATATTCCTCAACCTTTTAGGTTTATTGGGGGAGTGAGGGTTGGTCCTAAAGCCCTATGGTAATTGAAACGACCTTTGATAAACGGTGGAACATTGATAACTTCACAGGAGAAAAGACCAGAGCGCTGAGTTCTGCTGACCTCAAGCTCCAAAATAGTTGTTCACCACCTAACTCTGTTATGAATGAGATTTAAAATTGTGTTAAGCATCGGTACCTGATTGTATGACTCCAGAGGAGTTTAACGACTGTGGTGATAAATTATAAAGGATATGTGACACTGGTTACCCCATATTGACCAATCAGTGTATATTAATCACCAAGTTAAAAACCGCTAATAAAACAAGAGTGACTCAAAATCAAAATATATTTTTTCTATTCATTTTTTGAGTTTTGTCACTTTTTCTTGTTTTGAACTATCAGATGAATACAGAGGATGAGGTAAAATCTCCTCACTAGATGTAATATATCATAAACGTTGGCAATAACTTTTGAAAGGCTGATTTGAATTTCGATATATGCAAATAGAAAGGTATGGTTGCTATCCGCTTTTCGCAACTGAGTAGAACAAAACAAATTGAAGAATCGCATGACCATTGCAAGGGTGGCACAATTAATCGTAAATAAAAGAAATACTTTCAGTTATTTACAGAATGATCATGAACGTATTAACAGTATAAACACACTCATATTGTACCATCAAACATTGTTTTCTCATTTAGGAAATAGATCAATAAAAGCGTCATTTAACTCTTGTAGAAAAGTTGGATTTCAAATTAGTCTTAATCAAAATGAATTCAGTGGATTTTAGCACAATTTCCAGCTTACTGAGCCATTTTTACGATGAGTATCATTGAGGGTTCTTCAAAAGATACTATTGTACCCAGGATAGAAGTTTATACCTTAAGTAACTTTTTTCAAAATCCACAGGCTGGATCATAATCTCAGCTTCGTTATGCATACTCGTCATACTTGCTCGTTTCGTTAAACGATTAACACAAATTTCAGGAGCTGGAAAGATCCATAGTTCTTGGTAGTAGATGGTGGTGTGTTCAAACGAGACGATTTACTACTTGACTCTGCATCACTCGAAATTGGTTCACTAGCCAGCCTGCTCCTATTTCAAGTATTCGTTTGTAGGGATTTGATTGGTTACAGGATTTTCATCATGAGCTAACATTAGTTAGAGAACCACTGGAAAGCCTGGGAGTACTGGACAGCTGTTTCGTCCTAGTTTGGGACTCTTCAGAAGTACGCATCCACCGGGGTTGGAATTCAGGATGTTCTGGTTACAAGGCGAGCTCATATACCACATAGCCACTGGGACCAATGAGATGCTCACTAGCGACTTGCCCTATTGAGGTAGGCAGTTACCTGGGGTTCTAGTGAGAAGTCGTGACCAGTGAGGTCCAATTAGAAGCCTCAGCTCAAGTTATGGTGGCGGGTGAATGAATGCATTACGTGATAGTTAAGGTAGGCGTAAAGTGTTAGTTGAGGATGGTAAGTTAATGGAGAAAGCTATATCGATTCAGGTGTTTAAAGCGTGTGCTACGTATGTCGATTTACCTATTTCCTTGATAAGCAGTCTCACGTGGATAGAGATTTTAATACTTATATCAATAAGAATTTAAGGTGGTCAGAGGAAGATGCCGTTAGTTAATGAATTCTTTCGCTGTCGTATTCTGTGTCACGAGGAATAGGTCGCTTTGCCGAGGTCTGCGGGGTGGTATGTAGTGGGTCTTTTGTAATAGATTTGTCATGTTGGTTAACCTCTATCATATGGCTCATTCATCCCGTCGTTAGATTTTATTTTGCTAATATTATGAAGAAATGTCACGTTTATGTGTGTGATTTTCAGTGATGCTTGGTGTTATGTTTCTGTTTTACGTAGACTAAAGTGAAGTGCATACAAGCCGTCGGCGTGGATGTTGATGACTGAGTGACGAAACTATTAGGTTGACGAACATTTCATTTCGATTTATCACTGTTAATTCATGTTGTTATCATAAGGTGTTGTAACGACGTATGAACAGCAATCTACAGAGTGGAATGCTTCGTAAGACACGACTTCATAGTATCATCATTGGCTGGCGAAATAAATTTAAGTAAACTATTGTGGTTTCATGCATTAAGTTATGTACCACACCGATCACGTAAGGGTTGGTGGTCCTCTTAGACTAACGAAATATTGGTAGATGGAACAATTTGGAACACTTGCTCCAAAAATTAAGGGATTATTCTTTCGGTTACATCAGTGTTTTATATCGTGGTGTCATTCTTATTTGCAGCTGTATTTTTTGAAGTGTTGCAGCTTAAACGGATGCATTTATGCGCAAATGTCCAAGTGAAATCGTTAATTAGTTAGTCAGATTTTATGAAGACTACATTTTATTCATTATAAGTTCACTTGTCTTTCTAGCATCCATGATGATCATTATTCCACAATATCACTCTCGTTGGAAGATGGCATGGTGTTTTGGTATCATTTGGCTGGCGATTTCGAAGGCTCGTCAAGAAAGGTAGTTTTTTCAATGCAGCGAAACTAATGTTCTAGTATCTTTTTAATAATAATAATCATAATAATAATAATAGCTTTATTCCAAACAGTATTTGTGGTACAGGTGTGGAATTTTCTGCGTGCATCTAATTACCTCATAAATTTCATAAGATTTTAAAAATAAAAAGCAACAACAACAAAAAGAAAAAAAGAAAAATAAATGAATTAAGAAAGAACAGTATTGCATTTACATTTTAAACGGTGCACCACAGGATATGAAATATAAAATTAGTGTGTAATAGTATACGTGAGCAACAATATAATAGTAACAAAGAAAGGAGAACAAAAGCTAATGGGAACTATTTGTTAGAGTGCCGCAGTAAGTTGATCGTGTCATACCTAACGGATTTCTCATCACATAACAGCTGTGCCAGATAAGGTATTGTGGAGTTTTTGTACTTGGTAGTCCTAGCATATAGCCTCCTATAGTTGCTTCTAGTTCTACCAGATGAAATGCAAGGAGAGAGCTGCGTATAGGGAGGGTGTTCGGGGTCTGACAATATAGAATTCGCTAGTTTCTTACATGACATTATATGTCATCCACAGTGATGTTAACCAGTTGGTTTAACGAAATCCCACTTGCCCTACTAACAGCTTTTAGTGCCTTACGCAGCAAAGCAAAATCTTTCTTAAGTAGTCCAGGAAAGATTAATGAGGAGCAGTAAAGAGGGATGGGTAGAATACAAGAGTTGACAAACTGAGAAAGCAAAGACTGCTTTATACCAGACTGCCTTAACTTCCTAACGTAGAACGTTAAGCGAAACATCTTTCTAGTAACTAGAAAGATGTGAGAGGACCAGGAGAGATCGGAGGAAATACTAAGTCCAAGGTACTTGACATTAGATGTAATTTCAACCTCTATGCCGTCAATGATAGTGGGACCATGTGAGCTAGCTGGTTGTTGTAGGTCACATTTTCGGCTGAAAGTGAAATTTACTACCTGACATTTAGACGGATTCAGCTTAAGACCGTTTGAAGAGGACCACTGACTAATTTCCGACAGAAAGTTATTTAATTTGGAACAATCTGACTGAGAGTTGACAGGCATAGAGACAGAGAGGTCATCAGCATACTTGACAAAAGTGGCTACATCAGAACGCGGCAAGTCATGTTAGAAAAAAGAAAACAGAAAAGGAGAAAAAACAGCGCCTTGAGGAATACCAGCTAAAGTAAGTGAGGTAGTGGAGGACTTTCCATTGTAGGCGGTGTACTGCTTCCTATCAGAAAAATAGGAATGCAACCACTTATTTGTCCAGCTCTCAGTCTGTGTTGCAGCAAGCTTACTTAGCAAGAGAGACCTAGGTACAGAGTCAAATGCAGGTGTGTAATCAAGGAAGGCACACCGAACATATTTAGCTCCTCTATCTAAACTAGAGACTATATTATGATATAGAACAACAGCGGCATCTAAGGTACACCTACTATGTTTATAAGCAAACTGGTTGGGGTCATTGAAAGGCTTTAAAGAGGGTTCAAGATTAAGTAAAATAAGTCTTTCCATAACTTTTAAAAAAGCTGAGGTAATAGCAATCGGTCGAAATTTAAGAGTAGGTCCACTTGTTGATTTAGTCACTGGAACAACCTTGATATTTTTCCATGAGTCAGGAATAATACTTTTGGAAAAAGACTCATTGAAAATGTCGGTTAATGGGTAACATAACATGTCAGCACACTTCTTAAGGATAACAGCAGGAACTCCATCAGGACCAAGGGACTGGTCCTGTGTTAATTGTGACTCACTAGGCTTATATGCTGATCTGCTAGTGAAACGTTTTATTAGGTAAATCACGGTAATATTTGCGTGTCCAGGAAAGACCACATCATCAAATAATTTCAGTGTTACTTCCATTATGGGTAAATTTTGTTTTGATAAAGTCTCACAGTGTTATACAGTAATGTTTACTGATGACGTTTCGAGCACAATTTATTGCTCATAATCATATCAAGGTAATCACACGACTTCCTAAATTCATTTATATAGTTCCGTTGTTTTTCACTTGATTTGTTGATATAAGAATAAAACTTGTGCACTGTGGTAGAGTGTAATTCCATTATCTTTGGAATGGAATTACAATGGAATGGAAATTATATTGGAATTACACTCTACCCCAGTGCACAAGTTTTATTCTTATATCAATTTCACTGTTACTCACAAAGATACAAACAAAGGCAGTTTTCAGTTGCTTGGTTTTCATTAGACATTGGAAAAGGGTTGAATGCAGAATACACAGTTATTTCGTGAACCTGACCGGCTTAATTTTTTGACTCGGGTTTCAGGTTGAAACCGATAAGCAGTGTTCACTGCTTCGACTGCCGAAGGTTGCAGTTTGATTTATATTTTTAATTGATGTCATTAAAGTAGTTGGTTAGTATCTGTAAGTTAGATCATTATGTGGATGCTTTCACGAACATTATTTCATATATCTTCCGTGGTTGTAATATCCTGCAGTGAGGTTAACGGATTATATTGGTAATTTTGATAGGTATGTCATTATTATTTGTATTTTCTCAATATAGTTTCATGATTTAATATCGAAAAACTGGAAATTAAGTCTGTCGAAGCAGTTTCAGTTCAGCACACATGGTGAATCACCGTGGATAGAATATAGAGGCTGTCTTTCCCAAGTTTTGGTGAGTTTGTTGATCAGTGTTGAGTTTTCCTGAATCTTGTTATTCTCTCTCTCCCCATATGTATATGGCTGGTTATTGACTCATGGTCTGTATCTTTTACCAGAAGCTGTGCGTAGTAGATGTCCAATCGATCAACTTCGCAAGTTTTTGACTCGGTATATATTTCCATTTTTAGCCATTAGATCTATTCACAAATATTCCATCTAAGTGTTAGCAAATTCAGCTAGTAACGTGCCAATTTCGTCCAAACTTTTATTTCATCCTACTTACCTAGCGACTTCACTCAGAAATCTGTGGTGAATTTTTGGCAGTCCGGATACTTACAAATTTGGTAGTCACATCTTATTGTAGAACTGATTTTTACAGTCAAAATCACTCTACAAAAAGGATGTTTTTGAGTTTCATTTTATTGGCATTTACAATTTTTTTTACGGTGGGAATGTTGTCACGGCCATTGTGTGAATGCACCATTAATAAAGACTAGTCTTTCGTTGCTTAATGTGTATCACAGATTAGCACACTTTTATCTAACGTATTCAGAAATTCAATTTTAACAGCACCCTTACTTAGAGGAAAGCATAAACGTTATGCTGAGCGCCATGATGTATGCTGTTCCTAGTGTTATCACTTCATAGACTAGAATATTCGGACCTCAGAGAACAGGTTTTTATAGCAATTTTTATCTGCTGTATGGGGATGACAGATAAATTTAAAGTTATGTTTGTATTGAATTTCATTCTTTGTGCGGAGAAAAGTGTCAAATCGTATAGCAGAAAGTTTGTGGGAAAAACTTGTCAAAGGTAAGGTTTAATCGCTTATTGAATAGATGTTTCTTAAGTGTCTTAGGTATTTCTCTTGACTTCCATTATCTCACATCGTAGGTAGTGCATGCAACTGGCCTGGTAAGGCTATTATATTTGTATCTCATTTCACTCCACACCCTACGCAGGTCAGTTTACTTGGCCCTACTCATTCCTCTTATATGTCATGTATAGCCTGTTCGTTGGTTCGGCATGTATAGCAGCGAAATCCATCTTGTATATGCAGCAAAAGATTCCAGATACGATTTCGGAGGTCGTCTGCCTGACCCAAATGCAATAGCAGTCATCCATCCATTAGGTCTGGATCTTCTGGATTCGAAGTCTGGACGTCCACTTACTACTATCGCATTAAAATGGAGTAAGTTTGAATATGTTGTGTTTATTAGATTCCTCACAATATATAATTATTCATTTGCTCTCGTTTGTTTTACTAAACAACATCAGTTTCAAACAAACCACTTATCGCCAGATAACCGAATCAAAGTAGAAAGTATATGATACTAGTCTTGTTGGCAGTGTATTAATGCAACGGTATTGAATTGTACGCCAGTATATGGTAATGTAATTTATCTGAAAAGAGGAGAATGAATTGGAAGCGTGTTGAAATAAATTTCATGTGTAGTCTGCTAGAGAATTTAATTTACGTTCTTTTGCACAACTGAATTAAAAATCAGGACTTACCAGGTTAGTTACAGGACTTCATCGTGAGCTGACATTGGTTAGAGAACTATTGGAAAACTTGGAAGTACTGGACAGCTGTTTTGTCCTAGTTTATATATATATATACTAAGATTGCATTAGGAGATACATAACATAGAAGCAATCATGCAGAACGATAGGTACGAATGTTTTCCAGGCCATGTTCAGATAGATAAGGGAGGACGGCTTGTGAGAGACTAAAGTTAAAACAATAATGGATTACAGTTTAGTTATGCATCATTTAAAAAAACAGTTGGTTATCATAGTAAAAAGTTGAATATATCGAAAATCGCAAACTGAATAATATTGATAATAGTAAGAATAATAATAAAACGAGTTTAGATAATGCTTCTGGCAAAGGATAGTTTTAAATGGATCAAGGATAATAATAAGAGATGGAATAAAATACTACCAATAATAATAATAACAGTTAATAAGTAACATATATCACTATGGTAGACTCAAAGTCACCACCATTTCCTCCTGTACACAGAGACGGTTTATAAATTTCAATTGTACAAGCTTCCTCAAATGCTAGCATCTTTCTGTTTTTTGTCTGATGACAACACTGAACGACTTGACAGAGTCCATATCATGTCCATAGTCCATAATATGCTTTGTTATTGAACCTTTTGGTACTTTGACTTCAGCCTTTTCCAACCACTTACGAACTTCACACTGTAGGGAAAATGGGTTTGAACAAGAAGCACCAAAATTGTACATCTCCACCATGGAAGGGCTCGTAAGATACTAAACTTCATAATATCATCATTGTCTGACAAAACACATTTGGATAAACTGTTATAGTTTCATCCATGAAGTTATGTACCACTCGACCACATTGATCCTGTCAGAACAGCTACATTGGGAGGAGAGAGAAAACATATCTTAGATTCTTTGAAAATGCACCAAAATGTTCACATTTCAAGGGTACGAATTCTTGTTGATACTGGCCATGTGGTGGAAAGCGTGGAGTCCTTCAAGATTATTAATAGACAATACAACGCAACTGTCCTCAAATTTGCCGAAGCAATCGCTATTAAACGTTTAAAACCGGACTTATGTGTTCAGGAAGATTCACTTTGCATTGGTGACTCAACGTCTAATCTCTTCGTTTGATTACATAATCTTTTGCTTTCATCCCCACCATCTTTTTGTTTTAGTGTTATTCAGTTCATTTGGTTTCTATGACTTGAGTTAAACTCACCACACTGTTACTCATCATCAACGTCTTTCCTCTTGCCTTGACTAAGCAACTCAATCTTCAAAATATCCGACTAATAATTTTGCATGTTTGTATTTTGTTTGAATCTTGGCTCCACGATTCATATGATGTCAATTTAATCTCTCTGAATGGTTTCACCATGTACAGACAAGACCGAAGCAGTTCAAGGAAGAAGCGAGGTGGTGGTGTTGTTACTTTTATCAATTCTCAGTGGTCTGTTGCCAACGACGTCTGCTTTAAATTCTCAAATGATAATATTGACTTTTTAACTGTTAAATGTCGACCTAAATTTTTCTAAGTACAACTTTATTTTTATCACGAAAATTTATGTCACAACCTTGTTGTAGTACTTCAGAAATATCTATGTTTGCTGATGAATTCACTATTTTCGCCGACGCCTCTTTTGGCAACTCAGTGTCCATAAAGACAGGAGATTTTAATTCTTATTACTGCAGTTTCCTTACAGTGCTAGGTTATGCAAATGTCGTTAACTTTCCCACCCGACTGGATACTTCTCTTGATCTTGTGTTTATAAATGACTGCGGAATATATGAAGCTCATAAAGGAGCCACACTGTTTAACTTCGATCATTGTATTGTACGGGTTTTACCCAAAATTTATGGAAAGTTACACAAGAGAACTTTTTCACACCTTTCCAAGAAAACTGTACATGGATGTTACTCTAAGGAGACTGTTCAGAATCTTAGGGGCATGCTCAAAGATACAAGGTGGGACTTGTTTAACGAAGACTCTCTTGATGACAACATCTAATATTACATGTTATCTCAAATTTTGTCTTGACACCTGTTGTCCTAGGGAAACGCTCTTCATCAAATTTGACCGTTTCTCCTCCTCTCAACTTAAAAAGCTTCGCAGGGAAAATGAAAAGTTATATAAAATGAAGAATAACATTGGTTTGAAAAGAATTAACATCCTAATAAAGTCTGAAATGCACAGATTGAATTCAATTTACAACCAGTAGTTTATATTCTGTAAAAATGCGTCTAATACATGGAAACTTTCCAAAGAAATTACTGCTGGCAAAGAGATGAATTATATTCCTTATTCCTTTGATATGTGTACACTAAACAAGTCTTTCATACATTCTCCCACAAATGGCAAACTTTCTAGTGTCACAAGTGTTAATAAAAACTGCTTTCCTGGTTTGAATACAAATGATGTTCTAAAATGTCTCCAGTCTCTGAACCCTTCTTGTAGCCTAGGTCCAGATGATTTGCCTAGCCTTATTCTTAAAAAATGTGAAGATATCCTGTTTTATCCTCTCATGGACATATTTAATGAATCTTTTTCCAGAAATGTCGAACCAGCCGTTCGGAAGGACATTAAAATTGTACCCATACCTAAGTCATCTACTGGAACATGTATTAAATTAAGACCTATTGCTATTACCTCTCCTTTTCTGGAAACCATGGGAAAGTTACTCTTAATTAGTCTTCAACCTTCACTTAAAGACTTAAACGATCCCGAACAATTCGCCTATAAACACAGTAGAAGTACTTTAGATGCAGCTGCAGTCTTGTATCATAACATTGTCTCCAGCTTAGACAAGGGGGCTAAATTTGTTCGCTGCACCTTCCTAGATTACACATGTGCTTTCGACTCAGTACCTAGGGACATTCTGTTAAACAAGCTTGCTGAAACTCAAACTGACTGTTGGGTTGAAAATGGCTGCATTCTTATTTCTCAGGAAGGAAGCAGTACACTGTATGTCAGGGAAAGTCGTCCACTTCGTTGCTTACTGAGGCTGGTGTTCCTCAAGGCTCTGTCCTTTCTCCTTTTCTGTTTTCTTTCTTCTTGCATGACTTGCCTCACTCTGATGAAATGAACTTTGTTAAGTTTGTCAATGGTCTAACTATTTCAATGTCTGTTAACTCCCAGACTGTACTAAGATGAACAGCTTTTTATCAAGAGTTAGCAAATGGTCTTCGTCTGATGGTCTTGAACTAAATCCTTCCAAATGTCAGACTGGTGATTTCAGTTTCCGATGTAAAAGAAAGTTAAATGAAGCTGTTGATTCCTATGACCCTTGCAAAATCGATGATACTGATATAGAAATCAAGTCTGAAGTTAGGTATCTTAGATTAATTCTTTCTTCTGACCTATCCAGGTCTTCTCATGTCTTAGCGATTTCTAAAAGAATATTTCGTCTGACTTTTCACATTAAGAAGTTAAGGCACTCAGGCATAACTCAACCACTCCTCTTACAGTTTGTCAACTCGTGTATCTTACCTATTGTTCTTTACTGTTCACCCTTATTCTTTCCTGGATTGCTCAAAAAAAGACTGTGTCATACTTCATAGAACTCTGAAGACTGTCAGTAGGACGAGTGATATCCCATTGTGCCATATCCTTGCAATCGTCATTGGTAGGCACTTGATTTCATGCAACAAATTTGCTAAATGAATTTTGTCAGACTGTAAACATCCACTTTACCCGCAGCTCCAACCTTGTGTCTCCTCAGGTAAAACAAGAAGTCTTTTCGGAAGACTTTATGCACGTACTTCTAAGTATAAAAATCCCACTATACCATGTTTTGCACGTATTTTATGTGATCAAAACAGTATTAGGCATGAACCAACTAACCTTCTTTGCATTAGTAAATAAACCATTTTCTCCGCCCTTATAACATCAACCTTTATTGTTATTGTTCCTGTTATTTTATAATCCTTGCAACCTTTTGTTTTTATTTGTTTATTTTCTCAAAAGTGTTGACATCATTTAAGCTGTGTTATAACTTTATTTTGCCTTTCCCCTCACTATACTATATCCACAGAACATTAGATTCAATACTCCATAACATGCTAAAATTGTAAAACTGAATCGACAATACTGTTTGAAACAAACTCACTGTTATTATTATTATTATGTTTAATATACTCAATTTGTACTTCGAATATTTTTGACTTCATATCATAAACGTGGACAAATTCCTCTGGTTAATTTTGTTTTAATTTTTAATTTTATTTATATTTCGAGTAAATCAGATGCAATAGTGTGACAAATGCTGAGAATTCCATTCTGTATTACAAGTACTGTTTTGGAACAAAGTAGATTATTATTATTTTTATTATTATTATACGTTATATAAGTGGAACTTCTGAACATTGTTTATTAACATATGCTTCGCTCAACAAAATCATGCAAGTATGACAAGACTCTGTGCATATTTACATAATCAACTTTTAGGTTGTAGTCAGTTGACGAGAATCCAACACAATAAATGATGGCTTCATATTGTTCTACACAAACAATTGTTTTGGCTTTATTTGGAATTTTGATAGATGGAACAGTCTTTGAAGCCGTGTGGCTAAATGTTTCTGAAACCAGTAAATTACAGTCTTTATAATATTTTTGTTTCTTTTATTGGTTTCAGAGTGGAACACAGGGTTTCAGAAGCAAATCTTCATTTCGCCTTCTCTAAAGTCCTTTTAGGTATCTCCAAGACTGCCCATAAGTTTCCATATGCTTTCCTCGCTTTTGGAAATCCGATTCGTCGTTGCGCATTAGGGTTACATTCGAGTACTTGTGTAATGTCACTCAGTAGTCACCCCAGCTTATGTCCAATCTGTCAGCACTTTCTTCTGCATAGTTGTTGTTTAATAAATTCCTGGCTGGTTCACTGACAGAATTCACTATTGCTTATTCTTTCTAACCGTGAAACCTTCAGTATCGAGCGAAGACATCTGTTGATAAAAGTCTCCAGCCTGTTGAAAAGGCTTTTGGTGGGGCACGCGTCGATTATATGAACCATATAAAAGCACTGATTTGTTGGAAATCCCGAGGGTGTTCCTTATCGATAGTGTGTTTATTGTTTATCATTATGCAGTGAGGTTTCCGACAAAAATCGAAACAAGGTGTGATTTTCTGCAAATACGTTGTGTTGGTGGACATCGTTTATCTATACGTTCTTTCTATTCACATTTGGTTTCATCTTTAGAAGTCGGATCAGTATACGCAATCCTGTCCACTTCAGCATCAAACAACTTTATTCATTGGAAGCTAGGATTGCCCACTATCTACGAAATACGAGTTTCTTCACAAATTACCGAGTATCCATCAAGTGGTTTACGAGTGAAAATACATCATGCTTCTGATGAAACTAAAGCATCTCTTGAAAGTGATTTTTCACATACCATTGACTGTCAAGGACTTTTCATTCGTTATGAATATTCATCTAATAATTGGGAGTTAGACAAATCTGTGTATTCAAATTCACTGTTCGAGGTTCATTCATCCACATTCCATGGTTTATGTCGACCATTCAAACTATGGGAGTATGCCAGACTGGGTAGATCAGATTGGCAAGAGGACGAAAGAAAATCACTTCCACCAATTGTTGTTAAAAGGTAACTTCCTTGTTGATTACCTTTTTTCAAATTGTTGTTTCCTATCACTTATGGTTCACTGATGAATCATTTACAGATTCATATATTTGATTCATTTGAAAAGAGATTGAAAGCCTTAGCTCATTGGATGAATATTGGACCGTAGTTCCAACCTTCTCAGCAGTTTTGACGACTTAATTTCCATTTAATAGTGATTTAAAATGATAAAAATCTGTATGCTAGAAGATTACTTGTTCACTACTTACGCTGTACCACCTTGATGAGACACAATACACATCTCATGTATTATCGTTAAGTTCTTACTCAAAAACTGATATGTAGACAGATTAACAATGGATTGCCCTTTTATGGATATCTCTCACACATATATCATCGGCCTATACATACATATATCATTGTTTCCTTCAGTGAATAAACTGTTGCTGATACGGAATTGTAATTTTCGTCTCACGTTTTCGTATGTTTTTATTTATTTTTTTATTTTTGGTTACAGCTTGATGCCACACCGTATTTTCAGTACAAGTATGGCATTTTCAGCATGGATATCGGTAGCCCAAATTTTGCAGGCTGACCATAGATATCGGGTGTGCGCCGGCAGGGGCTCGAACCTCGGACCATGTGCATGGTCGGCGAGAGTCCTAACCACTGTGCCACCGACGCTGTAACCAAAAATAAAAAAAATAAATGTTCTCGCTTATTTAGTGCAGGCTGTAGAATCAGGTAGCTGTGATGTACGTTGATGGGTAGTGAGTAGCTTAGCAACATTGTGTGATCAGCGCGTCTGTGTCCAGCTTCGGTATCCCTATTCCCACTGTTCAAACTCAAGTCAATTTTCTTTGCAAAATATAAAACGGCGTAATATTCAAAATTATGTACCAGAACTGAAATGTTCATTGCTCTATGTGTTTTTATTGTACAGAAGTTCATCTGGAAGTAATAGCACAGATTATACACAATCAACTTTCAGTATTTGGTGTTCATAATTCATGGTCGGGTAGTACGCAGTTCAGCCAAACTGCTAGTTCACTCAATTATTGTATGTATTTATTTCTCAGTACCCTAAGCACTGATGGGTTAAACTAATAACCGATGAAAGAATTCACGATAATTGATAGTATGTACTTAATATGCAACTTGAACACTTTCATTCCGTATGTTGTGCAACGGAGCACGAAAACGTAACTAACCAGTAGTTTGTGAGTTCACATGTGCTGGCATTGTAGTACATGTTCTTTTCTATGTTTAGATTTCCTGTTCTTTATGGTAAATCGATTTATTCCACCTGTGTTTCTCCTACATACTAGTAAGTTGAGTAGCGGATTATTTCTCTAAGGACTTTCTGTTACTGGAGGTGCTTTAACTAGTTAGCCACTGATCTTTGAGCCTAGTGATTGCGTCATTTTTACTCATTAGCGGCGAAATTGAGTCATATTAAAGGGAAAGGGTGTAATTCCACATTTTGAAATATATATAATTCTATGTTATCATCGTTACAGTTAATACAAGCCACTTTTCTTGTCGATTTGTTATGTCCCATGTACAGGCATAGTGAAATATCAAGTTTGGCTGGATTGTGGCACTCACTGTTGAATAACAAAGGTGGTGAATTCGATTTGCATATACGAAATCAACGTCTAACTTATTTGAACGAACACGAATATCATGACATTTTCTTTTTAACTTCGGATGGAACTATTACTTCTGTATCAAACCACGGTCATGAAAACTGGCGAGTAAGACAGTCTTTATTCAATCTTTTGAGTAAATTTCTAGAAGTGAAATATTTGAAAACTTGTAGTAACTTTAAGTCAAATTCATATATTAATACTGAGATGTCATAAGGAATAATCACAACGATGACACAATAATGACTGCTGCTATACAATGGGCTACCACTGTTTTTAAAGTGTTAAATATTCTGTTGCCACCGGAAATAATGACATCCAACTAAAATCTAACGCTATGGCGGATTTCACCACAGACTGACATCATTTGTAACCCTATTGGACATTCGTTTAGTCCTAATTCAAGACTCCTCAGTGTGCGCATGATCCCAGCACATTACTAGGCTGGCCCATTGATTATTCAAACACTAGTTTGGAATTAAATGATCCTTGAATTTTAACTTCTATCAGTTCGGAATGTAGCGCCACCGCCAACCAACACCTTCGATGAACATCCTCTTCGCCCTGATATGATGGACTACACTCAACCGATAACTGGTTACCTTGAACTGGTGGTCGGACATGCATGTTGTATTTTTTTATCTAGTTACACTGACTGGCATAAATGTTCCTGTAGGTCCTACTATTCCAGAAAGGCCATCTGGATAGCGGTTAGACTACAAGCAGCTATCATCATAGTGTAAGTCGCTCAAACTATGTTGGCGGTCTCAGCGCAAAGTCGTACTGATGGTGAATAGGGATTTAACATCAGTGAAGAATCCCTCTCAGAAGACCAGCAACCCAGGTATGGTGCCTCTCGCTTCGACCCCATAAATTGTACACCTGATTCACCTTGCGGCGGTACATAGCCAGCAGTAAGATCTTCACATGTTCTTCGGTCACTGAATAACTTTCAACATGGCACAGAAGTGCAACAGTTCAAATTACCACACTTCATGTACCATACAAGGATAGACAAAAGAAAGAAAAAGGTGATTCGAAAGAACTACAGTAAGCAGATATGTGCGGCAGAAAGATAGTAACGTAGAAAAACATGAGCGTTCAATGGATATGAAAAGGTTAGCTGTCTTTGACAGCAGTTGTTCACGTTATATCTCTCATATTAAATAGTATTGTATAGTAAGTAATACTATTGAGATTAGATGTAGAGCATTAAGTAAGGAGGAGAAATCAATATATGAAGTTATGAAACTACATGGGTTGAGATGGCTAGGACACATGCTGCGTATATCGAACCATCGCCTTCCTCAACCGGACAATGTTAGGTGACAGATGGTTAGATTGGAAAAGAGTTATGGGTGGTCAAATCGAAACCTGGCATCAGTCCATGAAGTGTTTGACAAGTGATTTGAGCAACTCAGGGAGGTGTAAACTAAGTGGCCGGAGTCTGGAGATACTAAGAAGCAATGTCTGGCGACTGTTGGCGACTTTTTTCTAAGCCTTCTCGATGGCCTAGAGGTATTCACCCTTTGTTATTTCTATGAATCATTATTATCCGTGTCATCATTGTTTCTCCCTTATATTTGCCCTCATTATAGTTCTTTTGGATTCCTACTTTTTCGCCACATGTGTCTGCTATAAGAAGTGTTGCAGTCTGAACTGCTGCACTTTTTTACGAAGTTCTACGTTGGAAACTCAAGTGGACTATACCGTCCATGTCTGCTCATTTGAAATTCAGGACGTCCATACTGTAGTCTCTGCTGAGCTGGAATTCTGTGTTCCGGTTTCAGTCTTTAACGTATCACCTGTTATTTTTTATTGATATTTTGCTTTTGTAGGGATTTTGATTGGTGTGCGTGCTGTTGAAAATTTTAGGTCTTTGAAGGAATAGCTGTCCAATGTTCTTTGAGTTTCAAGAATTCAACAAGTGATTAGTTCGTAACGGAATCCACATTGAATTTAATCAGAATCCCTACGAAAACCAAAATGTGAACAGAACTTGACAAACGATAGGTTAAAGGCTGAAATTGGTCATTTCTTTGGAATTAAAGTTATACATTTACGTTGTTATTTAGTTCGAATCATGTGTGACATTGTCATGAAAGGAGATGATTGAACTAAGAAGTTCGTGAATGTATTTTCAGCATTCCTTAGTGGGTAAAATATTCCGTCCAAGAGTAAATAAAGTGAATTCGTCTTATCCTGCAAAAATGTTTCAACTTTGTCAATGGGAGTAATTTTAAGAGGCAAATTAGTCATACGAAGAATTGAATTTTTGTTACTATTTAGTGTACATTATTCATTTGTTCTTGTGATGTGCATATAATTGACCAATCAGTGAGGTTGGCAAATATTTTTTAAACGCCCTTATCATCAACATACGCCTTTTGTCTTCGGCCTGCGTCAGTGGTACAGTGGTTAGGACTCTCGCCGACCATGCACATGGTCCGAGGTTCGATCCCCTGCCGACGCACACCCGATATCTATGGTCAGCCTGTAAATTTGGGCTACTGATATCCATGCTGAAAATGCCATACTTGTACTGAAAATACGATGTGGCATCAAGCTGCAATCAAAATAAAAAAAATAATAAAATAACACATATATTTCAATTTCTGAAAAAAAGGTTAGTTTCGCGGAAAAGGTTGTGGAAATGCTTGTTTTGATTTCTTATACATGGTAGGGTGTTTCAAGTAAAATTTTATTGATTCAATCAGATTCATCGGAGAAATTGCTCCAGGATATTCGTAACATTTGTGGTTTAGACCTTTATGAAAAAGCTATGGATTAGTTGATTAATTCAGTATGCAGTGCAATCGTATGGAGTCTGATAGATAGTTTATTAGTACTAGGAGATTAATGAAATTAGAGAACATGAAGTAAATTAATTAATTCCTACACATCGGTCAAAGACTGAAGTTTCTTGTTGCTCAAATCCTTCAAGAAATTTATTATGTTACACTATCGCCATTATTACTAACTTCCACTAATTTAATTTGGCATATTTGTGCATATGTTTGCACTTTGAGGCTTGTGCAGCTCAGGAATTATATCTATCTCTAAACAGTTGTCACTAAATTATATTGCATGGGGTTTATGTTACCACTTATGTGTCACATGTGTCACATAACCTTGGTGGATGGAACAGTATTTACATATTTGTATGGAGGGTTTCATCATGAGCTGACATCAGTTAGAGAACCACTGGAAAACCTGGGAGTACTGGACAGCTGTTTCGTCCTAGTTCGGGACTCTTCAACAGTACGCGCCCATCGGGATTCGAACCCAGGACCTTCTGGTTACAAGGCGAGCTCGTAGACCATTGAGCCACTGGGACCCGATCCAATGGTCCTTGAATTCTAACTTGTGCCAATTCACGACATAGCGCGACCATTTCGCAATGTCTTCTTAGATGAGTTACTGCCTCATCATATTTAACAGACAGGATGTTAAGAACAATGAAATCCAGGCCTTAGCAATCATATTTTATATAGATTTGCGAAAAATAAGTTCCACCTGAATAAAAGGGTTACTTTTTTGGGCTTAAAATTTTTTTTTTTCTGAATGACAACGATGCAGGTGTTTAGATACTTGGCAATTACTTTTATTACGTTTATTGTATCGGTGTGATTTATTTAGTATATTGACCAAGTCAGTGAGTATGTGTTGAACAGAGCAACAGAATATCGTTACTGTGCGTAGACATAATCCGATTGGGGACTTACAGAACATTATTAATGCATTTCAGTTAATGTATGAGAAAAATACCCATCTGTGTACATTCGGAAGTTGCTTAATACATAGATGAAGTTTCTCTTGTAAGATAATCATGTTGTATTTGTGTCATTTGAAGAAAATGTACTATATATAGCTCCAATACCTTGGATTTTGTTTTTCGTTTATTTTTGTGTTTAGCGAAAACATTCATTCAGACATCTATAAAACACAAAATAATTTAGTAAAGAATATCCTTTTCGATAATTTCCTCTTCTGGCTCTACAAATATATATATATATATATATATATACTTATGTACACAGAGTATTCTAGAGTAGTAGTCAATGACAATATTGGTGTTTTTAAAATAAACTATGTATATAAGCATATATGTAGTTGTAGAGCCAGATGAGGAAATCATCGAAAAGGATATTCTTTGCTCAATGATTTTGTTTTTGTGGAGTTTATAATTCTAACTATTTCTAATACCATAGATACACAGTAAATCTTGATGTACTTGGAGCAATTTCTTCCCAAATCTTACATTTATTTCTCTAGTTTTGTGACTTAATTTCTTTTTATCAGAATGAATTTTCATTTTCTTCATGTGATATTTATTTCTAGGTAAATTCTGACGTCTCCTGGTTACAAGTCTCACGCACATTGAGAAATTTTGAATCTCCTGGCGGTGAAAGATCTGTTGACCGGAATTTGAGTGACCTGTATATAAAGCATTTTCATCCTGCATTGATTGCCGTTGATCTAACACCGCTAGGCACGGTATATATGCGTAACTTGAATATGTTTCCCCAAAGTAAGGTAAGTTGTGATTTTTTACTAGAAATGTCTAGTAACGTTTGATTTACATTTTTTCGGATAAAATTCGTTGACCTAAAACGTAACTTTTAATCGAATAACTTTATTTCTTTTGTTTTAGCTGTAGGTGATGTGTTCATTTGTGCTAGTACTACTACCAAGTAACAATCATCAGCTGTACCACTTCATGGAAAAGTAGTTTCTTAGGTTAGGAAAAGGTGGTCTTATTACCATAACGTATCTCCATCAACCAAAGTTGTCTAAACTGCATCGCAACGTGAAAAAATACAATCAACATGCTATTAGTCTTAGTATAAAAGTGAATATAAATGGAGTAGGAAATTGTTTCCTCATGTAGTTGAAAGCTAATTATTTAAAGGGAAATGAAGTGTAAATCCGTCTTTGTTGTTTTAAGCAAACCCAACTTTTTCAGATGAATCAAAAAATAGCCTGTAACTCTATGGGAGGCCATTTTCAGATAACCGTACATTTTTTTAAACCGTAGATCTTTGGTTGTGTTGCACTGAATAAATTTTTCCCCTCAGAATATGGCAGAATTCTCAGGAGTAAAGAGTCGAGTAGTTTATTAGATTAACGTTTCGAATTAAATCCATGATTTTTTCTTTGACCTATATACTGAGAAAGCATTTTATGCCTAAGAGTTGCTAGTTTCATCTAAATGGGTGTTTCAACCTACCAGAAACCTACTGCGTTTTCACGGCAAAAGTTATCCAGCAAATTAATGGTGACATATGTGATAACAATGTAGTTACATTTACTGTTTTTCCTTCGTTTGTTTCTGATACGTTTATTTGGTATAGCACACAGTAATTCAATGTTATCAACTGGCTGACGTTTCTAACAAAGTTTATTGCTTATAATCATAATCAAAACATGCTGATCTGATTATGAACAATTAGAGCGGCTAGAAATTCTATCCAGCCAATGAAAATACATCACTGAGTGCCAAATCTGACAAATTTATGTAACCCGGCGTTGCACTCAATTTCTAACTGCTAAGTTGTAGACTCGAATTCTACCGTAATCACAGAACTTCCAGCAGTTAATTTGTGCAATCATATATATTAAAAGTCAATCTGAACGAAGAATATTCTTTTCAATAATTTCTCTTCAGGTTCTTACAATTATAAAATATAATATTTGTGGTCGTTACAATAAGGCCAGTTATGCGGCAGATACATTTTTTAACGTAGAATAACAGATTAGTTATGGGGTGTCAAAATAAATAGTCGTATTTGTGTGACAAACGTGCTAGGCTGAATTCGATTACAAAATAATGTAAAACGGGAGACAATGGTGATTAATCATAATAGATTTGTAAAGTGGGGGTAGGAAAATTGACAAGTCAGTTCAAGGTTATAAAAGGTGTCAGGTGAGTGGCTAGTACAAAGTGGTCTGTGTTAAACAGGAGATAGTAAGACTGCAATGGGAGGTTCATAATGAGATAGCGAATATGTGAAATGAAACAGGTGGAGGCATATATTGAGAAAAGAGATAATATCACTAATAATAAGTCCGGATAGTATAAACGAAAAAAAAATCTATAGTATTGAGAGAATGTTTGCATGAAGGGCATAAATTATGACGAATAATAATATTAATAATAATAATAATTGTAATAATAAGCAAAGGAAAAAAAAAGGCCAAGAGAGTTAAGGGAAAGGAGCACTCTTGGTGAGAAGAAGAATCATCAATCCAAGTTTGGCCACGGTAGGAACAGCGTCTGGACGTGTTCTTTTTGGATACAAAGTTCCGGTTGCTGTTGCAATAAGATCGACTAAACCGGAACTTTGTATCCAAAAAGAACACGTCCAGACGCTGTTCCTACCGTGGCCAAACTTGGATTGATGATTCTTCTTCTCACCAAGAGTGCTCCTTTCCCTTAACTCTCTTGGCCTTTTTTTTCCTTTGCTTATTATTACAATTATTATTATTATTAATATTATTATTCGTCATAATTTATGCCCTTCATGCAAACATTCTCTCAATACTATAGAATTTTTTTTTCGTTTATACTATCCGGACTTATTATTAGTGATATTATCTCTTTTCTCAATATATGCCTCCACCTGTTTCATTTCACATATTCGCTATCTCATTATGAACCTCCCATTGCAGTCTTACTATCTCCTGTTTAACACAGACCACTTTGTACTAGCCACTCACCTGACACCTTTTATAACCTTGAACTGACTTGTCAATTTTCCTACCCCCACTCTACAAATCTATTATGATTAATCACCATTGTCTCCCGTTTTACATTATTTTGTAATCGAATTCAGCCTAGCACGTTTGTCACACAAATACGACTATTTATTTTGACACCCCATAACTAATCTGTTATTCTACGTTAAAAAATGTATCTGCCGCATAACTGGCCTTATTGTAACGACCACAAATATTATATTTTATAATTGTAAGAACCTGAAGAGAAATTATTGAAAAGAATATTCTTCGTTCAGATTGACTTTTAATTCATAATATGGGAATTTTCCACACTATCAAATCATATATATATATATATATATATTCGATTACTGAACTGCTTTATCCTACTATTGTTGAATCAATATTTATAGCCTGTCGTATCAGTAATGCCCCTAATCGTATCTGTCGGTTGGGATTCTGTCAGTATTGTTGATCGATCGAATGGAAAGTTTTTGGCTACACACAGGCTTCCAACTCAACCAACTGGTCAACCTATAGCTGTTCCACTTGTGCTGCACAATGCAACAAAACCGTTGGAGGTGGTTTATGCCCTGAGTCTACTGTTGGTTCCGTGCAATGATTTGTAAGTACCTTTATTATCAAGTGTTTGTTTATGCTGGCTGTCTACAGCACTCTGATACAATTGACTTAACTTTCTTTGACTAGACCATTTCTTTTAAGTTATATTGTTTTAATAGCAATCTTATGATTCATAATAATATTGTTTCGTTATGGACAAATCTGTTAGTCTACGTACACTTATTGACATTTCGGAATTTAATTGTTTCTCTAGCCATTTGTGTGTTTATCATTTTTTCTATTAATGCCAATGGCATTCAATATGAGCCACTTGTTTTTTCAAAAATGCTGTCATTGACCTATCAAAGCGTAAAGTACATCAATACATCAATCTTTGTGGTGAAGTAATGGGTGAAAGTTTTGTAAATCATGTTCAGTATGCATACAGACGTTCCAGCTGTTCATTAAATAATTGAAACTAATGCTCAATCAACACTTGTCTTCAAGAGATCATTATACAGGATTATCTGTTGATATAATTTAAACCACTGAACAAAGTTCAGTCATTAGCTTAAAGTTTACGTGGGGTATTTTCATTAATGAATTTCGATTACCTCCTGTTTTCAATAAGATATGAATATGCATTTTTTCATGGGTTTGATTTTCAATACTTTATTTAATCTAATAGTCATCATTTTCATACTACATTCCACCTCCATTTCTCCTAATTTTAGAATCGTTGGTTTCGTTGTAGTTCAGAGTTTGCGTGTATGGATTCTGTTACCGTTGATAGTTAGTTTGGTTATATCATTTTCCGTGCTAACCTTGTGTTGTGATTTAGATGCACGAAATACGGGGAGTACATAGCTGTTTCACGAAGAGGCTGTATATTCACACACATGGTGTTTTGTATTTTCTTATTTTCATGCAATCTTTAAACTGTTATATTGCTAACATTGGTTTGACTCCTTGTATATATTGAGAAAAGTGTGTTTAAGCTGTCCGGAACTTTGTCAGTGTTGTTGTTGGTTGAACTGGATGTTATGCAGTGATCCGTTTTAGTCTTACCAAATAATTTCCAATTATTACTTATTTTTGTTTGTATATTCTATGTAAATATTTCTTGCTATACGTAATAGTAAAAATAATTACGAGGAGTTGGCTTTTCACGAAATATTTATAGAGCAAAATGATCGGAAGTTATTTTACTTGAGTTTTACCTTGTTTACAAAAAAAAACGTTAAAATATACACAAAACAATCGCCTACTAAATAAATTTAACAAAAGTAAAGGCGTTAGTGTTATTCCTATAACAATAAGTATTTACGCTTGAGAAATAAGCTGATGAAATCATACTTTCCGAGCCATTCTGAGTCTGTATCACGTGATTGTTTGGATGATGATTGCTTATGGTATATCGTCTCAACATTTTAACTTGAGTGTAACTTTCTAGGCATTTGTTTTTTTTCTTGACCATAGCTCCAGCCATCACCCACACAGTAAATCAGGAAACAGTCATTTGTTATTCTTTCAGAGCTTCTTTTTCAACCTGTTAATACAAGTGAATAACAAGCTGCAGTGCTCACTGAATTACAAATGCCCAATGTAAATGTGTGCCCCGTATTACAGCAAAGTCACCATAACCTCTGAACTGTAATAAATGGAACACTATGTAGATAACAGAAAGAAGGTTTCTTAAAATAGCAGATAATTAATACTCTGTCTTCTAGCCATTTTGGAAATAGTGGACCAAATGATGCCTGAGTGCTCTGCTTTCAAGTCTCTGTCCAACAAATACAAACGGGAGGGTTAAGTGGATTTAGTTACGAGGCTGATTGACTGACGAAATAACGTAAAGCTTTGTTCTATTGAAGTTGTGATACCTCGGAAAAGAACACATTGAATGTAATAAAATTACAGGGAAAGATGTATGTAAAAGAGTATACAAACTATTCATCCCAATCAATCAGCACTATATAGTTTTATGAAAATATGCTTGCTTTCTTGATTATCATTTATGGTGTCAAACGAATCACATACTGTGATCTGAATAATTTGGTTCTCAAGGGAGATTGTGGTGAAAATTTCACCCCTCGAACCGTGTACATTACTAATTTCTGACTGATTTGCAAACTATGAAGAGAGTGATTAAATCAAAAAGAAAGTTTTTCAGGGTTTGAAAAGACATATGATATGAACAAATCTGCGCCATTGTGAGCAGTCCAGATCAACTGTAAACAATTTCATGCGTCGCTGTTGTGTTTCTGTCTGACCACCTCTATCTCTTTGTTAAGCTATTCCTCTTAACATTGCTTTTCCGGAAGGCGATGGTATACGTGTCGTATCCTCTCTAAACAGTGGAGTTCACAACGTTATGGGCTGAATTTCTGTTGTTACCTGACCTCATTATTACTTAATATGTTGTTGCACTTCACAAGCACCTGTATGGGAAAACCTATAGCCTATTTATGTCTACGTTCAACAGCCATAACTACAAGAAGTAATGATCTGGGAGTAAACTACAAGGGCTGTATGGGAAAATGTTCCAACATTCTGTAGTTAAGAAACATCTATAAAATAAGTTAGTAATCTTGATGGCGTTATGTATCCTCGGTATATTTTTATAGGAACCCCTAGTCTGGAACTGAGCTTATGTACACAGTGTTTCTGCTATATAACACTATTGATGAGACCGCTTGTTATATTGGCTGTTTTCTCCACCGTCATCTATGATATAAAGGAGATGACATAATTTGATCTGAAAATTTTGAGTTTGTCGAGGAAGTCGTAGTAAATTCTCAGCTCGGACTGTGTAATTTGCAAATGATGGATTTATTACTTGAGTGGGTATAGGTATTCTCGTTATTTCTTAAAACCGGATCCCTTTATTAGTTTGAATAAAGAAATAACGGACATAATAATAGGATAATACAAGCTCGTTTCGTTTCGTGGTTTCTCTTCAGCCCCGTACATCCTAGACAAAACCAATAGTAAATTTCAAAATCTCTGAAAATACTGTTTACTGTGACTTCGGGCTTTAGATAAAAATGATAGGTAGCATAATTCAAAAAGTAGTGTAAGTAGACGAATTAGTGTTAAAGGAGTAGCTATTTATATGATAATTAGACAAGTGGACTGGAGTTCAGATTTCGCTTGGAAACGAGGATGAAATACCGACAAAATACAAGATAGAACTTCAGAATTCAGGAGGGTGGGGGTGAGTAGTAGGATGAAATAATAAGACAGACAAAATAATTTAGATTTGGAAACTTGATAGTGAGTTGAACTCAGCAAGTGAAAATCAAAATTAAGGTGAATGTTATGCAACAACAAAAACACGGACAAAACAATTACGGTTACCAGGGTAGTGAGAGACGAGTCACTCTGTCCTTTTGTTTGGTTGAAGTCTTGTGATAGCAATGGCTTCTGCGAACCGAGGTAACCATGGTTTTCTTTTTGTAGTGATTATTTCGAAGACCTGACCAGTTTTCACAGAATGTCCAGTAACAAGTTAGTGTCTAGCAATTGCACTTGAGAACACTTTGTTACTCTTCAAACGGAGACTTTACGGTATATTCTCGGGAAATCCAGTAGAAACTGTCCTCTCAATTCTTTCTATGTACTTGCTGCCTCAAGTTCAGGTGAATTGGCAAATACAGTAGGAGCTGACATTGTGAAATGTGCTACTGATAAGATTTATCAGTAGTATATTAAGAGATTTTCATTAGCATAAAAACATCTAATAGCGAGGGGATGGGTTTGACACTGAAGAGAGCAAATGGACCAGTGTATTGCGGCAAAACATGGGTGACATGAAAAGAAAACGAAACACAATAAGGGCAGAATTAGCAGAAAACGGAAGATCTGTGCCGATGACGGTTTGAAGATAAAGTGTACATAATTTCCCTATAAGCAGATATCAAATTGCAAATAAACATTACTTCACTAAGTCTTTTGACTTCTACCACTATAACATGAGCAGGATACTTATCTACTTTTCAATTTTATGTATTTAAAGCTATCCAATATATCTTTTCAGTTGCTATATTCTCCCACACTTCTTAACGGAACATAATAGTTGTCGAATAGGCTGCACTCCCAGTGGAGTCTGTGAAGTAAAGACAGGTTGACTATCATCACCAATGATCTTGCTGATTTTGTTAGACAGGGTCATGCGTCAAACTGTAAGAAGTTAGATGAGCATACATTGGACTGACATAAAGACTAGAAGATGTGGACTTCGCGGACGATCTATGCCTAACGTCACATAAACTCGAAGACTAACAGGCGAAATAGCCACAAATATTTATCGGTCTATATTTTCAGGGTCTGACAGTACATTATCTTTATAGTTTGTATTGAAAAATGGTAGGGAAAAAAATGAAAGTTTTTATTTGTAGCATTTTCCAACCCTTCATGACTGAGAATCTTGGTGATTAAGATCCTTATCTTGTTTGTAACAGTTCCCAAAAGGCCTTATTCTAACAACTTCAGTTCTTCGGAGATAACATCAGCAAGATATTAACAAAATGCCTTAGGAATGCTGTTAAAAGAGCATTCAGTGCTGCTGAGTTGCACTGTGTCTCCAAAACCACCCCTATTTTGCGTTCGGCAGCAAAAGATAAACAGCTTAATTTCGCCTCTCCTATGTGTATCTGATATGTCACATGACGTCTGCTTTTGTTTTGACAATTTGGTATATTTTACTGTGTATATTGATCGTTATTCCATTATAACTCACAATATGTTTTGTTTGTCCATTAACTAAATAAACAATGTATGACCTTTTGTCACATGACATTACAACCAATCAGAAACCGATGGTGGCAAAAAAACTACTGTCTATCTTATTGGTCCATGTATGTTAGTCATTTTCATATATACTTTGGTATTGTACAGTTAATTCACTTTTACACTCACTTTCGTACTCATTCGTACTTTTCCACTCACACTTTGTGTGACAGTTAATTGTCCTTGTTGGAAAATACACGTATCTTCGTGAACGTGGTGGTCTTCTAATTTTCCTCTTCGCGTCAGGACAAATCAACCACTAGCAATACCAGTTTGTACGTCACCGTCCTTTTAATCTCATTAGCGCATACTTATACTTGGTCACACCATAATATCGGCAACGACCCCATAACAGTATCTACCAGTTTGACGACTCCTGTGGAGCCAGTTCCATAGGCCGTACAATTAGGCGTGTTTATGGTTAGATTTCTGGACATCACCCTGCGTGGTTAAGTAAAGGAAAAACAAAATCCATTCATAATGCTGCTCTATCTCATCTTGTGGATACAGAACACAATGTTGGTGTTAAGGTGGCTTTCAAAGTCATTTACCGCACATCAACAAATCTTCACTTCACCTTAAGAGTTTGTAAGTGGTTGGTTGTACTTAAGGTAGACACCGATCAACCACACTAAAGACTTTTCCTCTTAATACCCTAACCAGTATTCTACCTAACGTGTAAGTACCGATTAACGAACTCGGAGTAAGAAGGCATGTGACTTGGTAGTGTGTCCTGATAAGAATTATATTTTTACCACAGAATAAATGTCAAATTTAATAAATAAGGATGTTGTACAACTTACCTGTTAACTGCCTGGCGTAGCAAGTGCACTTAATGATAGTACAACGGGGGAGTGAGCCACATGTGAGAAGTGATGTGGCACCATATAACATAAATGCGTTAGAATAAAAGTCCAAAATTTCAAGGTGCACTACAAGTTCGTCTTCTACATACTGTTAAGGCCGTTGGAGTCCACATTAAGAAACCAGACTTATGTATCCAAAAGAACCTGTGTCACACAATGTCCTTACCTTGACTACCAACGTTATAATTCTCCTCAATTTGTTGTGGAAATTCCCTTAGTTTTATTTGATATTCCCTTTGCTACTATATTTTTATGCTTATTATAATTCATACGTCTTTAGTGAGCCGTAATTCCATTTATTCTTACCTGACAAATCTATCTTATTTAAAAAACACCATTATTGTTAATGACGACTAATCTAGAATATTCCATGTATGTAATCATTGTTATTTTTATCAGTCCCTTGGATTCCTAGTGGAACATATGGCTTCAACAACACATCTCCACTTTCTTCTGTTTTCTGCCATCCTCTTCATCTGGGTCCACGGTTGACCATAATCTCTCATCTCTTCCTCACACGATCTCTTCCATGTCACACTCGCACCAACGACTCACTGGTCACTTCCCACTTGCATTCCACTCGAGGGCTTGGCGCACAATGTCATTCGATGGCTTCCTCAATGTGTGCTCGATCCA